GAATAATAGGAAGGATAAGAAATTTAGATGATTGTCATGCCCTTCAAGAAGACCTGGACAAAATAAGTAGATGGAGCACCACTTGGCAAATGGAATTTAATGTTAATAAATGTCATGTTATGGAATGTGGAATAGGAGAACATAGACCCCACACAACCTATATATTATGTGAGAAATCTTTAAAGAATTCTGATAAAGAAAGAGATCTAGGGGTGGTTCTAGATAGAAAACTATCACCTGAGGACCACATAAAGAATATTGTGCAAGGAGCCTATGCTATGCTTTCTAACTTCAGAATTGCATTTAAATACATGGATGGCGATATACTAAAGAAATTGTTCATGACTTTTGTTAGGCCAAAGCTAGAATATGCAGCTGTTGTGTGGTGCCCATATCTTAAGAAGCACATCAACAAACTGGAAAAGGTGCAAAGACATGCTACTAAGTGGCTCCCAGAACTGAAGGGTAAGAGCTACGAGGAGAGGTTAGAAGCATTAAACATGCCAAAACTAGAAGACAGAAGAAAAAGAGGTGATATGATCACTACATACAAAATAGTAACAGGAATTGATAAAATCGACAGGGAAGATTTCCTGAGACCTGGCACTTCAAGAACAAGAGGTCATAGATTTAAACTAGCTAAACACAGATGCCGAAGAAATATAAGAAAGTTCACCTTCGCAAATAGAGTGGTAGACGGTTGGAACAAGTTAAGTGAGAAGGTGGTGGAGGCCAAGACCGTCAGTAGTTTCAAAGCGTTATGTGACAAAGAGTGCTGAGAAGACGGGACACCACGAGCGTAGCTCTCATCCTGTAACTACACTTAGGTAATTACACTTAGGTAATTAGGAACAACCGTGGACATCTTCAAGAGGAAACTAGATTGTTTTCTTCAAGGAGTGCCGGACCAACTGGGCTGTGGTGGGTATGTGGGCCTGCGGGCCGCTCCAAGCAACAGCCTGGTGGACCAAACTCTCACAAGTCAAGTCTGGCCCCGAGCCGGGCTTGGGGAGTAGAACTACTCCCAGAACCCCATCAACCAGGTATCAACCAGGTAAGTCAGGTGAGGTGAGGGAGGGAGGAAGTAACAGCCAGTAGCGGGCTGCCACTGGCTGCCATTGCCACTCAACATACCAACTTAGTGGTTCGTTATGGTGAACACAAATGTAGATACTTATATATAATGTGTATATATAGTGAAATAACAGCAAAAAGAGTGTGGGGAAGAAGCCATTTTGGTGAGGGAGATGGCGACATCTGCATGATTTATCATGTTGGTAGGGGTGGCCACTATGCTCTTTGGGCACTATACCGGCTTAGTTGAACAGTTATGGTGAACAAAACATGCAAATACTTATATATAATGTGTGTGTATATAGGGTAATAACACCACAAACAGTATTGTATACAGTGGCACCTCGATTAATGAGTTTAATCCGTTCTGACACAGAGCTCGTTATGTGGAAAACTCGTCTTAAGAAACAAATTTCCCCATTTAAAATAAAGGAAATAAATTTAATCCGTTCCACTCCCAAAAAGATCCATACTTGTATGACATTTTATAATGTAAATATAATACTGCATATGTAATTATTTTTGTTGTACTGTTTTCATGTTTACTTTACCTTATGAAGAGTCGTTGCTGGCTTGAGGGAAACAATGGGGAGGTGGGAAGGAGGAGAGGGGTTATGGTGTGGAAGGAGAATCCACCTCTGAATCAGCCGGGCTCTCTCTTCTTGGTAATTTCACCCCACTGGGACCAGGTTGTGGTTCACTATCACTGGCTCTTCTTTTCCCTACTTTTGCAAAGAACGTATCTATTGACAATTGCTTTTGTCTTTGTTTTAGGATGTTCCTAAAACAAGACAGCAAATTGTCATTAAACATGTTCACAAACCGGGTTGTTACTGCTTTATCAGGGCAGCTTTACCAAGAATGCGGTCACCTTTTCAAACATTTTAACACTTCCCTGATCTCACTGGAAGAGGCAGCATCCTCCCTTACCTCCTCATCCCCTTACTAGTGGTGCAAATTGTTGATGAGGCCCTGCCATACTCCCGTGTGAGATCAGTCACACAGACACCACGCTCATGCTTTGCTATAATTTCCTTTTCAAATCCACAGTAATTGTGTCTTTCATCATCTTGACAACACTATCTTTAGCAAGCAGCTTCTTTGGTGACATCGTGCATTACAAATTGTAGTCAAAAAAAATAGAAAAAAGCGCAAAAAAATCCAGAGGCATGCTTGTCGTGTGCGATACAACAACACTGGCGTCGGAGGCGTCCGAGAATTTGCGAGAACCCGCAAGACGCTAGGAAGCATCATGTGGTTTTGCTCGTTAATAGAGGTGAAGCGCGTCAATAGACAAATTTGTTGCTAGTGGCTCGCTCGTTACTCGAAATGCTCGTAAATAGAGTCGCTCGTTAATCAAGGTGCCACTGTATTAAACCCTAAACATTTGGAGTTATAAATATTTTGGACTAAATTTGATGCATATTTCAAATGCCATATAAAATCATATTGATGATTTTTTTACAGTAAACTATACTGAAAACTTATATACTAAATCTATGAAAATGAATTTCATATGCAATTCTGAGAGCATAACACCACCAAATGAATAATTGGTGATATTTTATAATTTTGTGGCCGATTTCAAAATCTCAAGTTTTCAATATTCAATTTTAGATTTTTTTTTTTTTATTTTCTTGTTTTTCAAGTTAAGTTGATGATCATTTACACAAAGTTGGAGCATTTGCTAGTAAATTATGCACAAAAACTTTGAAAGCATTTGAGAAAGTTTGAGAAACTTGACTCTTAGTCCATACATACATGTATGTACTGTATTTTGCCCTTTAAGGGTTAATAGTACTGTATTATTAAAAAAAAGTATTCATTCTCTAAAGAATTGTACCATTGTGTAATAAAATGCAAGGTTATTTATGTAGCGTCATAGTCAGTAATCTTAGGACTAAAAGGCTTTATTCAAAACTGTTATTTACATGTAAAAATCTTGTTCTCTGTTGTGAGGGAGAGAAAAATGGCAGTGGCAAGTTAGCCACCACATTCAGTTAAAACTAAGCACACCTAACTTAACCTGTCAATAACCTAAGACAGAGCAAGAGCCACAGAAAACAAATATTCATAAGTATATGGCACTGGAGACTACTGATTTTTTTTATGTATACTTTGAGAGTTGTATAGCCTACACTATAAAAATATAATGCAAATAGTTCCTAAAGTGTGCCATTACCCACAACAACTCCCTAAAGCCAGGCTCCTCCCATGCCCTGACCCCAAAGCCAGGCTCCTCCCATGCCCTGACCCTAGAGCCAGGCTTCTCCCATGCCCTGACCCCAAAGCCAGGCTCCTCCCATGCCCTGACCCCAAAGCCAGGCTCCTCCCATGCCCTGACCCCAAAGCCAGGCTCCTCCCATGCCCTGACCCCAAAGCCAGGCTCCTTCCATGCCCTGACCCCAGAGCCAGGCTCCTTCCATGCCCTGACCCCAGAGCCAGGCTCCTACCATGCCCTGACCCCAGAGCCAGGCTCCTTCCATGCCCTGACCCCAGAGCCAGGCTCCTTCCATGCCCTGACCCCAGAGCCAGGCTCCTTCCATGCCCTGACCCCAGAGCCAGGCTCTTCCAATGCCCTGACCCCAGAGCCAGGCTCTTCCTATGCCCTGACCCCAGAGCCAGGCACTTCCTATGCCCTGACCCCAGAGCCAGGCTCTTCCTATGCCCTGACCCCGGAGCCAGGCTCTTCCTGTCCCCTGACCCCGGAGCCAGGCTCTTCCTGTGCCCTGACCCTGGAGTCAGGCTCTCCCTGTGCCCTGACCCCAGAGCCAGGCTCTTCCTGTACCCTGACCCCAGAGCCAGGCTCTTCCTGTGCCCTAACCCCAGAGCCAGACTCTTCCTGTGCCCTGACCCCGGAACCAGGCTCTTCCTGTGCCCTGACCCCAGAGCCAGGCTCTTCCTGTGCCCCGACCCCAGAGCCAGGCTCTTCCTGTGCCCCGACCCCAGAGCCAGGCTCTTCCTGTGCCCTGACCCCAGAGCCAGGCTCTTCCTATGCCCTGACCCCAGAGCCAGGTTTCTTTCATGCTTTGAACCCAGATTAGACAGACCTCCTCAACCTTCTACTTTGACCGGAATATGGGTCCCAGTGTACCTTTACACCAGATATATACACCAGAGGCCTGACGGCTGAGTGGACAGTGCTCAGAGTTTGTAGTCCTAAGGGTCCGGGTTCAATCCCAGGGGTGGTGGAAATAAATGGGCAGTTTCTTCCACCCTGATGCCCTTGTTTGCCTAGCAGTAAATAGGTACCTGGGAGTTAGATAGCTGCTACAAGCTGCTTCCTGGGGATGTGTGTGTGAAAATTAGGATTAAGGACTTGCCTGAAACACTATGCATGCTAGTAGTTGTACAAGAATGTAAGAACTCTTGTATAAATAAATAAATAAAAAATAGTACCTCCCCTTAGCCTACCATATTTCTAGCCATGGGTCTATCCTCATTGCTGGCTCAAAGATGAGGAAATCACAATATGATGTTTCGACAAAACTAATATTCTATTAGTTTTGCCGAATAGTGTTCTAATATTTACAAATTGTATAGTATATGTCATTAGCTTTAGCTGGCTTGGGCTTTTTAGTAAGCTTAACTTGGATTGCGTTGGGTTTGTTTGAGTTAGGTAAGGCTGGGTTGGGGAGGCTTGAGAACCTTGTAGCAAACTGTCTTGGGTATGAAGGTACAGGTCCAGGATCCCCTAACACGTCCCCCAAGAGATCGATCCCTATCCTGAATACAATTGTCCCCACAGAAGTTTACATCCATACCCTGACCCCCATAGATGGTGCCCTGCTTTCCCTAACCTCTGAGATAAAGCACCCTTACGTGCCCTAACCCGAGAGACAGGCCCTACCCCCAATCCTTGCCCCATCCCCCCCCCCCCACCCTGGGCCCGTGACAGTTGTCTACCCCAGGACCCCCAACCTCACCTGCGCCTTGGGGGAGAGTGACCATGAGACGGGGATGGCTTAACGCCCCCGTGTACAGGTGAACGTGGCGCCTTCACTACCTCCTTGACAGCACTTGCCACCCCTCAGGCAGGTGTTACCTGAGCAACATATGCGCCGCCCTCAACACACGTACACACACACCTGCTGCAGCTGCTGTCACACTCTTGTGTAAACAGTTGCCAGATGTGCCCAGCTGACCGAGAGACCGGGCCGGGTCAGGGGCTCCCACGGCTCCACTATGTTTACCTTCCTGGGAATTATGAACGATGACTGAATTTCCATTTTTTTTTAACTTGCTTAGCTAAATGACTTTTGGGATTGAGGTAACGCCTGAGCCCATTATATGCTTCTGTAACTCTTTCCACAACCGCCCACAGGGTGGGTATGGGATGCATAATAAATTAACTAAACTAACTCGGTTGCAGAACATATATATATATATATATATATATATATATATATATATATATATATATATATATATATATATATATATATTGTAGCGAGTAGATTATCCCAATAATATACTCGCTCCAAATATAGTGTTAATATTCCTGTCAACCTTTGGAGATGAATGAGGTGAGGCGTTGCCCGGGCAACACGGTGAGGTGTTGCCCTGAGCAATATAAGCAGCGGTGTAGCGAACATTGGCTAGTCTACTTTCAAGTGTGGTCTAGAGCAGACACTTGCGAGATACTGTACCAACGCTCAGTGCGCTCAACTCACACCAACGTATCACCTGTGTACTTCTGTATATTCGACCAAATATATATATAGTATCTTAGTGTCTGTGTTTATTTGTCACCATACTTTACGTAACAATAGAACCGTTACATTGGTGACCCAGTGAGTGAAAAGAACACCTAGTCACAAACTAGATCTTCGTCATGGATTTATCTACCAGGTTTCCAGCATACAACGCAGATGAGCCAGAATTTTGGTTCATGCAGATGGAGGCTATTTTCGACCTTCACGAAGTTTCGACGATACCCAGCCACGATGGACTACAACATGGACTCTCACTGGACCTCTAGTGCTACTGTTTGCTGTGATGGAATACTGCCAACACCCTTGCCACAGCTATGATTTTCATCGCGTCCATCTCTGCATTTTCATCTACTACGGCTTGCTGCTCCACGATCGTTACTCACTCATCTGACAGCCTCATCAATGATTACATCATGTTGGATCTACAGCTTGTCCTGCCGACTCTCCGTCGCTGCCAGGGCACTGCTCGTCCTACGCCCACGACAGCTGCTCTGTCATCAGATTCATCTACACGTTCACTGCATTTTGATACTCAGCCGACTCAAGCCCTTTGTGCAATACAGGACTTACAGCTTGCGTTTCCGACTCTTCGTCGCCTCCAGGACAATTCAGCTCTAGCAGTGATTACCTCGTTGTCCTAACTACGTGCCTACATTACCTCCTAATGTCCTGGTGTCCATCCGCCCCGGATCTAAATGCTCCACCAGCGACCCAAGGACGCAACAATTATGCACATTCTTCTCTCCTGCTACACCGAGCTTGTCCACACACTGCCTACATCTTTTAGTACCAGACTACAATTTCCAGTAACAATGTAGTTCTCGGCGTGTACAGTCCTAATCAACCCAAGACGCTACAGCTTCGACACAGAGCAGACAGCAGACTACGACCGCATCGAGCCGCCACGCTCTCGCTCCCCGAGTTTAGACACTCACAATTCTCAATCGAGCCGCCACGCTCTCCCACATAGAGCTCCACGACTCCGGCCTCACTCAGCTCTCTGCTCTGCTCCAGGCTTCGTCTCAACGTCTGCGACACTGCTAAATCCAGAGACACATCCGCCGACTACGCAGTTCACTTTTCGACCCCAATTACCAGCCGCACCACAACCTCCTACGACGACGGACGATCCTGTGCGACAGGATCCCCTACGACCCCAGTTAGATGACATCAGCGAAGAGGAGGAAGTTAACTTTGATGGTTATGTAACGCGAGCAGGGCGTACAATTCACCGACCAGCTAAGTTCCTTGATCAAGTATTTTTCCTTTCATCCCCTGGGAGGGGGAGTTCTGTAGCGAGTAGATTATCCCAATAATATACTCGCTCCAAATATAGTGTTAATATTCCTGTCAACCTTTGGAGATGAATGAGGTGAGGCGTTGCCTGGGCAACACGGTGAGGTGTTGCCCAAGCAATATAAGCAGCGGTGTAGCGAACATTGGCTAGTCTACTTTCAAGTGTGGTCTAGAGCAGACACTTGCGAGATACTGTACCAACGCTCAGTGCGCTCAACTCACACCAACGTATCACCTGTGTACTTCTGTATATTCGACCAAATATATATATAGTATCTTAGTGTCTGTGTTTATTTTTCACCATACTTTACGTAACAATAGAACCGTTACATTATATATATATATATATATATATATATATATATATATATATATATATATATATATATTGCTCTATATATGCAACCCCACAACAAGCTGTCTAACAAAAAAAAAAGGAGCAGTGAATACCTACTCATTGCTAGGTAAACAGAGCCATTAGGTGAAAGGAAATGTGCCCAACCATTTCTGTCCCGCCCGGGATTCGCGTCTGGAATTCAAAATTGTGCGTCGAGAACAAACCCGACTGTACTACAGGAACCTTACTATATAGAGAGTTCAGCAGAAAATTACCATCCTATCAGATTGATATCACACATCTGAAAGCTCACCTTTGAGCTACCTCATCCCTTTGTGTGTATTTTATCTCAATAAACTTATTTCAATTTCAATTTCAAAGCTCACGGAGAAAATCCTAAGGGAATCATTCACCATCTTTCAGTGAACACTGTAAAATTGGGTTAAAATCAAACAATATGGGTTTGTTCAAAATAGATCCTGCCTTACAAACCTGCTCACATTTTTGGAAAAGTAACTCAGACAAAGGACGTCCATTGGATGTAGTATACATGGATTTTGCCTTTGATTTTTGCTTGAATTTTTAAAGCATTGATAAGGTACCACATGAAAGACTGCCAAGGAAATTACAGGTTCATGGAACAAATGGTATAATACTAGAATAGATAAAAACAATAGTTAAAACAAAGAAAACAAAAGGTCTTGCTAAATGGGAATAAATCTGAATCGAGAAATATGGTAAGTGGGGTACCACAAGGGGTCAATTTTGGGGCCAACCCTTTTTTGTCATATACATCAGTATTATAGATGAGAGTATTAAAAACTCAACAAATTTGCAGATGACACAAAGATTTATGGAAAAGTGGGAAATTAAAAGGATATTAAAGGCTTACAAAGATATCTACATGAACTCCACAAATGGCAAATACTGTTTAAAATCGACTGATACAATTAAGACCTTGCATGTGGGGCATAGCAAACCATGCCACAACTACCAAATTAATGACATTACACTACAGTAGACTGATAAAGAAAAGGACCTTGGAATCAAAATCCACCACTCACTAAAAGTTACACAACAAGTAGGAGCAGCAGTAACAAAAGTTGACAACCCCTTGGAATAATCAAGCGTACCTTAATTGACTTTAACTAAGGAAAAGAAGGTAGTACAGTAATTCAATTGAATAAATCTCTGGAGCACCCCAATTTGAATTACTGTATCCAAGCATGGAGACCTTACCTTCAAAAGGACATAGCTGCTCTGGAGAAAGTGTAACACAGGGCAACAAAAATCATTCCAGAGCTAAGTCGACTCTCGTATCAAGAACGGCTGATAGCCTTAGGACTAACAACACTACAAAATAGGCATGACAGGGTGGACTAGTTGAAACTTTTAAATACTGAAGAATTTAGAGGATGTTGATCTGGACAATTTCTTCTAACGAGCAGATGTAATACAGTACAAATAAGGAGCAACGTATCCAAGATCAACAAGCTACAATGTAGGACTAAGAACTTTTTCACCCACATTGTTATAAACCCATGGAACCGCTTACACGCCGAAGCCGTAAATGTCAAAACTCTATTAAATTTTAAAATTGAACTGAAAAAGATTATGAAGGCAAATGGGGGACCTTCGACAAGCCGTCGGCTTCCTGTTTTCGTCGTGGCCAGTATACTTAGGAGCTACAATAATTTTGCCCCAAGAGTGTAACACTGATATGTGTTACATATTGCCTCCAGTTCACACAAGAGGCGAAACAGCTGACAAAAACAATTATAGACCAACATCAAAGTTACCGGTACTATAAGAAATATTTGACAAAAACTATTTACAAGCAGGTCTACTCCTACCAAGTAAAATTCAACATATTAACTTCCTGTCGGTTTGGCTTCCGTTCCCAAAGGAGTACCAATGATGCCATTATTAGTCTGTTTGATATACCCTACACAGCCTTTGACAAAAATGAATTCATAATTGGCCTCTTCATTGACCTGGGAATGAATAAAATAAATAAATAAACAAATAAATAACCCGGAATTTCATATCAGTAGGGCAAAATAGGACGAGAGGACACCTGTAGAAGTAAAAAACGGAAATGAGCAGAAGGAATGTCAGGAAATACCCGTGCCCTGTACAAGTAATCAACAAGTGAGTCAGGCCAGTTAAAATTATAGCGCAACGGGTACAACAAGGCCAGCAGGCGGGGCATAAAGAGCTTGACCTCACTTCCCCGGGACGGGAGACATCTCCCGTCTCAACAAATTTGCAGATCACGCAGGGTGCAGTCGCACCTCCACAGATCTCCAGTATCAGCTCTTGATACTGGTAATGGCTCAAAAGGGCCACCACATGTCGTGCCACCTTTTGGGTGGCTTAATCTTCATCAATCATCACTTCCCCGGACACACTGTTAGGTAAGCAGAACGACCATGAAATGAGAGAGAGATGAGAGATATATACAAGAGTTGTTACATTCTTGTACAGCCACTAGTACGCGTAGCGTTTCGGGCAGGTCCCTGGAATACGATCCCCGCCGCGAAGAATCGTTTTTTCATCCAAGTACACATTTTACTGTTGAGTTAAACAGAGGCTACAGTTAAGGAATTGCGCCCAGTAAATCCTCCCCGGCCAGGATACGAACCCATGACATAGCGCTCGCGGAACGCCAGGCGAGTGTCTTACCACTACACCACGGAGACTGCTGAGTCTCTAAGCTTACAGGAACAACCGTGGACATCTTTAAGAGGAAAACTAAATTGTTTCCTTCAAGGAGTGCCGGACCAACCGAGCTGTGGTGGGTATGTGGGCCTGCGGGCCGCTCCAAGCAACAGCCTGGTGGACCAAACTCTCACAAGTCAAGTCTGGCCTCGGGCCGGGCTTGGGGAGTAGAAGAACTCCCATCAACCAGGTATCAACCAGGAATCAACCAGGAATCAACCAGGCATCAACCAGGTATCAACCAGGTATCAACCAGGTAAGCAATTTCCATTTGCGGTGAGCTACATAATTCATAATGCGATTTGCTTATCATACAGACCACTTCTTCATCCAGTGGGCGGCGGTGGAAAGATTACAATCACCGACATTTATTACAGGGAATAGTTGGCTAAAATTAGTGTGTAGTTGTGTGTGTGTGTGTGGACGCCATCTGTGGGCGTGGGGCGCGGGTGAGCCCGGCGGACAGTTGCTCCTCTCACTACATGTTTACATCAAGGCCAGGAAAATGGCAGAAGGAGGACCTGGAACTCAGACTGTGTTATGTCGGTAAGTGACTCGGCTCTAGAAAATAGACCGAGGAGTGGATGGAAATGGGAGAGGACATCAGTATTTGTGGTACATACTTGGTGAAGACGGAGACAGCGGCTGTAGTGGTCCAGGGCTGTCAGTGGTGGAGGCGGCGTGTGGCTGACCTCAGCCCACCTCAGTTCACTAACCCCAACCTTACCTTCTACTTACAAAAATATTGTGAAAAGAAAGACGCTGGCCTTTAGGTATAGGAATTCAACTTCCTTTGTTTAATTTGGTATTTAAACATTCATTTTGTAGTTTTGTATTGTTAACATACGAACAAAGGTAACTGCAGATGGCATATTGGCCCATACGAGGCAGCTCCTATTTATAACCACCCAATCCCACTCATATACATGTCCAACCTACGCTTGTAACAATCGAGGGACCCCACTTCCACCACGTTACGCGGTAATTGGTTCCACAAATCAACAACCCTGTTAATGAACCAGTATTTACCCAAGTCTTTGCTAAATCTAAACTTATACAATTTATACCCATTGTTTCGTGTTCTGTTTTGTGTTGATACTTTTAATACTCTATTAATATCTCCTTTGTTATGTCCATTCATCCACTTGTAAACGTCTATCATGTCACCCCTAACTTCGCCTTTCCAGTGAGTGCAATTTAAGCTTTGTTAATCTTTCTTTGTATGAAAGAGTTCTAATTTGGGGAATTAACTTTGTCATCCTATGCTGGACACGTTCAAGTAAATTTATATCCATTCTATAGTACGACGACCAAAACTGAACTGCATAATCTAAATGGGGCCTAACCAGAGCAAGATATAGCTGAAGAACAACACCAGGTGTCTTGTTACTAATGCTTCGATTAATAAATCTAAGCGTCCTATTTGCCTTATTATGAACATTCATGCATTGATCCTTTGGTTTTAAATTCTTACTAATCATAATTGCCAGATCCCTTTCGCAATCCAACTTATCAATCTCAACACCATCTAGCTCGTATCTTTTAACTATCATCATTACCTAGCCTCAGAACTTTACATTTATCAGCATTAAACTGCATCTGCCAATCTTTTGACCATTTCAAAACCTTATTTAGATCAACTTAAAGTGATAGTGAGTCTTTTTCTGTGTTAATTTCCCTACCGATTTTTGTATCATTGGCAAATTTGCAAATATTGTTACTCAAACCTGGATGTAAATCATTTATATATATATTATAAACAACACAGGTCCCAGGACAGAGCCTTGAGGCACTCCACTTACAACATTATTCCACTAACTTAACCCCATTTATACTAACTCAGTTTCCTTTGGAATAGCCATGCCCTAATCCAACTTAATATAGCACCCCCAATACCATGAGCCTCTATCTTTTTAATTAGTCTTTCGTGTGGCACTGTATCAAAAGCTTTGCCAAAGTCAAGGTACACAACATCACAATCCTTACCACTATCAATTGCCTCAACTATGCTGGAATAAAAAGATAGCAAATTTGTTAAACATGAACGGCCATGTGCATAACCAAGTTGCAATTCGTTTCTTAATTTATGTTTTTCAAGATGAAGACAAATTGTTTTCATCTTGAAAAAACTTGCAATTATCGATTCAAGTAACATTCCCACAATAGATGTTAGGCTAATTGGCTGATAGTTTGACGCAAGTGATCTATAAATATCTCCTTTCTATCTTCTTTTTTTAAAAATTGGTACCACATTAGCAACCTTCCATGACTCTATTGATTTATTAAATATGGTAGACAGTGGCTCGCAAAGCTCCACTTTACATTCTTTAAGTACCCTAGCAAACACTTCATCTGGCCCTGGTTTTTTGTTTGATTTTAGTTTTACTATTTGTTTAATTATATCCTCCCTGGTAACAGCTAAACTAGTCAACCTGTCCTCGTCCCCACCCACATAGACTTGTTCGGCTGATGGCATATTGTTAAGTTCCTCTTTAGTAAATACAGATATAAAATATTTATTAAAAATACTACTCATCTCCTCGTCATTATCAGTTATTTGACCTGTCTCAGTTTTTAATGGACCAATCCTTTCCCTAGTCTTTGTTTGATATAACTGAAAAAACCCTTTAGGATTTGTCTTTGTTTGCCCTGCTATGCGAACTTCATAGTTTCTTTTTGCTTTCCTTATCTCTTTTTTTAACATTTCTCACCAGTTGTACGAATTCCTGTTCTAAACTGGCTTCCCCATTCTTAATCCTTTTGTACCACGCTGTCTTTTTACCTATAAGGTTCTTCAGATCCTTTGTTATCCACTTTGGGTCATTAGTATTCGATCTATTCAATTTATATGGTATACTACATTCCTGGGCTTTGCTTAGAATATTTTTAAATAAGTTATATTTTGAATCCACATCGAAATCCCCATTTACGTCACCTATTGCTGGGTTCATGTCTCACTTCAAGACCAGCCAACCCCCCCATGCCCAAGACTTAACAATCTATTTGACCCAAAAAATTTCATAGGCTATTGAAATCATCTTTTTGAAAATCTGGCACCTTAACAGAATTTTCTCCTACAGATCTATTCCATTCTATGCTAAATCTGATTTCTTTGTGATCACTGTTCCCTAGCTCACTCCCTATTTCAATGTCATTAAATTGTGTTTCCCTGTTAGTTAACACTAAATCTAAAATATTATTTTCCCGTAGTGGTTCCTTAATGTGTTGGCTAAGAAAGCAATCGTCAATTAAGTCTAGAAAATCTTCTGCTTCATTATTCCCTGTTCTGTTAAACCAATTTATTCCACTAAAATTAAAGTCACCCATGACACAAATACTGCTAGACCTAGATGCTCTAGATATTTCATCCCATAGGTGCTTTGCTTCCATCGTGTTTAAGTTTGGTGGCCTGTATATAACTCCTATTATAAGATTATTTGCTCTTTTGTTTAATTCTATCCAAATAGTTTCTGTATGTGGCTCGGTTTTGATTCCCTCTTTGAGACTACATTTCAAAACACCGATTAAGGGAGCATCTGGGTAGATCTGGGACATAGGTTCGAATCCTCATCACGGCCCTTGTGGATTTGTACATTTCAAATTTTCTCTAACATATATGGCTACTCCCCCTCCTCGTCTAATATATCTATCTGTGTGAAATGGTTTAAATCCATTTATTTGATATTCAGCTAATAGTTCTCTATTTTCTACATTCATCCACGTTTCAGTAAATGCAATAATCTCTCTCTTTCTGGGTGGAGCCCTGTCGGCTCCCCGGAGCTTTACCAGGCTGATATGCTAATGTCAGACTTTGGCATCAGTCATGTGTATGGAGTTCTAGGGCCTACCGGGGACCATGGCCAGAACCTGGCCCCCTTAGAGAGGCAAGGGGAGCAATGGCCTATAGAAACCCCCGTGTGGTTGGAAGCATTCTATGTCTGCCATCGACCGGGTCAAGCATCCAGAAAGGTAAGCATTCCAAAACAAACCCCTATTCTGGTTAAAATTGCTACCAAAAGCCAAACTAGTGGATAGAACTCCCCAACAGAAAACAAGCAAACTAGTATGATGTCACACGTCACCGCGCCACTGTCTGCACAGCTCTCCCTTACCCGGGAGGGGGAGGAGGGGGAAGGGGGAGCCCCAGACCTCCCACTCCGGCTATCCACCCATCAGTTCTTCGGCTGATGCTATAGGCACCGGTTGTGTGCTCCGGCTCCAGTAGTTGTTTCAGCACTGTACCTAGAGTGTGGTTTCTGTTTTCTAGGTGGTGCGTGAGCCGGGAGTGAGTCTCTAGTACTCGGGTTGCATGCGCCTAGGGTACCCTTCCCTAGGTGCCCTGTAAGTACTGCCCTTTGGGCTTTGGGCCACCTTCCACAAGTTCCTTGGGTTCTGCCCCTGCTAGGCCGTTTACTGCTTGGTTTTCGGCCGCTCTTTGTGTGCTCAGGTGTTCTGTCTCCCTTGTTCGCCTTAGGGGTAAGGGGCAGTTTGGCACTGGTGGGGCGCAGGGTACTGTGCAGCTTGTCTCCACCTATCATGGCGGCCGGCTCTGTTCCGCTTGAGTGCGCTGTCCTCTTGTGGGGTTTTCTTTTTCTTTTTGTTTATCTACGTGGTGGGGGGTCTGCCTTTGTTCTTGCCCCTTCTGTCCCTTGTGTTCTGAGTATTTTTCTGGTGGTTCCCCTTGCTAGGTCCCCGTGAGTGTACACGTCCCGGAGGTTCAGCTCTTAGAAAGTTGTTTGGTAGCTTTGGGCGCCGGCTAGCAGTACCCTGCCTGGGACTACCTGAGACCGAGTCCTCTTATAGTAAACGCTCGGGACCCTGGAAATCCCCTGGGGGCGCGCGGGTCTGATGAATGTGATCCCAGAGTCCCCCCCTTGCTTCCAGCGAGTCTGAGGGTTGCTCTCACCCCTTGTCTCAGGGTGACTGTTTTGCTTCCGTCTGCTGCCTGTGGCAGCTCCCCCTTCCCCCTTCCCGGGAGGGGGAAGGGGGAGCCCCAAACCCTTCACGCCGGCTACCCACACCCCAGTTCTTGAGGCTGATGCTATAGGCGGAGGTCGTGTGCTCTGGCTCCAGTGTCGCTACAGCACTGTGCTTCGCGTGTGGTGTTTGTTTTTGTGGGTGCGAGAGCCAGGCGTTATCTTCAGTACTTGGGCTTCATGCTCCTAGGGTTGCCTTCCCTAGGTGCCCTGTAAGTACTGCCCTTGGGGCTTGGGGCCACCTTCCACAGGCACCTCGGGATCTGCCTCTGCGGGTCCGTTTTCCCTTTTCGGTTTTTCGGCCGCCTGTGGGGCTCTTGGGTGTTCTGTTCTCCCTTGTTCCCTGCAGGTAAGAGGCAGTTTGCACTGGTGGGGGCACAGGGTGCTGCAGTTTTGTATTCCCGACATAACGGCCGGCTCTGTTCCTTGGGGTTCGCTGTCCTCTTGCGGGGTTTTGTTTTTCTTTGTTTTTGCCTGGTGGGGGTTCTGCCCTCTTATTCCACTGGTGTTTGCCCTTCCACGGTTCTCCTCGGTGTCGCCCCCTGCTAGGTCCCCGTGAGTGTACACGTCCCTGGGGTACAGCTATTGAAGTTCGCTTGGTAGTTTTGGGCATTGGTTTGCAGCACCCTGCCTGGGACTACCTGAGCGCGAGTCCTCTTAAAGTAAACGCTCAGGACCCTGGGAGACCCCTAGGGGGCGTGTGGGTCCGATGGATGTGACCCCGGAGTCCCTGCTCGCTGTGTGCGAGTTTGAGAGTTGCTCGGTCCCCTTGTCTTGGGGTGACCCTCATTGTTTTT